GGGTCTATATTAGGGTCTGTATTAATCTTTGTGTGTGAGGAGTGTCTCTGGGGTCTGTATTAGGGTCTGTATTAATCTCTGTGTGTGAGGAGTGTCTCTAGGGTCTATATTAGGGTCTGTATTAATGTTTGTGTGTGAGGAGTGTCTCTAGGGTCTGTATTAGGGTCTGCATCCACCTCTTCCTCTCTTTGCAGGTGACTGGGTGATGCTGATCTATGGTGGGGGTGATAACTATACGTCTCACTGTGGAAAGGAACAGAGGAGAGCCATGGTGCTGATCTCCTGTAATCGACGGGTGTCTGCGGTAAGAGAAAGGGTTAGAACTGAGAAAAAGGAGGGAAGGGGGAAGTGAGGAGGGAGAAGGAACACAGAAAGTGTATTTATGCAAATGTCATCTGCAATGTTTTTTGTAATATTCAGTCAGTCAGTCAGGGTCACTGTGCTGTAGTGTCCAGTCAGTCAGTCAGTGTCTCTGTGCTGTAGTGTCCAGTCAGTCAGTCAGTGTCTCTGTGCTGTAGTGTCCAGTCAGTCAGTGAGGGTCACTGTGCTGTAGTGTCCAGTCAGTTTGTCATTGTGCCTGTTTTAACTTCTCTCTTTCTTTCTCTCAGGGGAACTTCGAAGTAATGTCAGAGGAGAGAGACAAGGCTAGAGACTGTTTCTACTTGTTTGAAATGGATTCCAGCTACGTTTGTCCAGAGACTCACCTGAGCATTGGCTCCATCCTGCTCATTGTGTCAGTCTGGCCTCACTCTCTTATTGTCTTACACATCTGTAGTGTGGGTGTGGCCTCACTCTTATTGTTAGGCTCATCTGTAGTGTGGTTGTAGCCTCACTCTTATTGTTAGGCTCATCTGTAGTGTGGGTGTGGCCTCACTCTTATTGTTAGACTCATCTGTAGTGTGGTGTGGCCTCACTCTTATTGTTAGACTCATCTGTAGTGTGGGTGTGGCCTCAGTCTTATTGTTAGGCTCATCTGTAGTGTGGGTGTGAAGTCATTGGTTCAGTTATGTAGGTATGGGGTCGGTGTGGCAGATGTTGTTTTATTACTGCATTGCGCCCTGTCACCATTCTGATTGATGTCACTGTCTGCTGGATCTCTCTTCATCCTTGTTCCTCTCCTTCTGCAGGGTCTTCTGCTTCCTGTGCGTCTACCTGGTGGGTGGGTTCCTTTACCAGCGGTTGGTTGTGGGGGCCAAGGGAATGGAGCAGTTCCCCAACCTCTCCTTCTGGCAGGGAATTGGGAACCTGACCGCTGTGAGTCTGCACGTGTCTCCCTCTGTGTGCGCATCTGTGCTTTTTCTGTGTGTGGCCTGTTTCCATCTGTATCTGTTAGTCCTTTCTTTCTTCTTCACTGGATTGAACTAATGCAAATACGAACAGACGTCCTAAACTCAGTTCTCTTGAATGCCTTGAAAGTATCATGATCAATTCATAGTTAAATGAACTACAGTACCCACAATGCACTGCGGGGGGAAGAGAAAGCTGGTCTACTTCCTCTTTGCCATATAAGGGCTGTAGTTCATCGCTCGTTAGTCGCGGGGATTGCTGGCTGACCGTCTCTTTCTCTCTTTTGCCCTCCGCCTCCGTCAGGACGGCTGCGACTTTGTCTGCCGGTCCCGAGCTCACGAGGCTCCGCCGACGTACCGGGGCGTGCCGACCGAGCCGCTGGGGGAGGAGCCCGAGGAGAGGGACGACCACCTGCTGCCCATGTGATCCGCGGCGGCCTCGCGGTGACATCATCGTACTGACATCACACACCCCCACCCCCACACCCACCCCCAGCCCAGCCACCAGGCCGCCATCGCCAGACAGACAGACTCACCTTGCACAAGCTCTCCAGCGCTCTGTACCCCGCATGGCTTGGCAGTAGGCAGTGTCACACTAACCAGATCACGTCTTTAGAAAGCGTGGGGGAGGTCAATTCTAGCGGCGTCCCCAAGAAGCAAGAGTTACTGGAGAGCTACTATCTATCTGCCCCTCCCACAGTGGGGCTGCGGTTATCCCTTCTGAGTTAGAGCTCTGCGCGGGTCGCAGGCTGCTTTGGGTCGGTAGACGTAGTTAAAGAGCAGAGCAAGAGGGGCACAGAGACGGACAGATGCGCTCGGATAGAAACGGCGACTGACAGACTCCTCTGCAGTAGAAGAACTGCGATTCCGTTCCCGGTGTCCGACTGTTCACCCAAAGAAGAGCCTTTTAAACTGTTACAGCCTGATTGGCGTCATCGTTGTTTGTTCGTTCTGCTTAATGAGCCTGAACTCGGTGCAGCGCAGGCATGCTGAGGGAAGTGCAGCTCACAGCCAGAGGAGAAATATTCATAACCCAGCAGGAAAGAGCGCCCCCTGTCTCGTTGCGGAGGCATGGTGGGGATAATTACAGTGAGCGATAAGTGCCGCACATGGGGACTCCCAAATCAGAAACAACCTTGGAGAGGTCTTGCAGTCAAGGTTACAGAACATCGCTGTGATGTCTGGCAGGTAGTGCCCTGGGGTTGGCTAACACAGCTTCCCTTGCCACCCTCCATGGCTGGGGTGGTAGGTCGAAGCACTGTGGGAAATGTAGTTCTTGACTGCATCAGAACATGGATTTTTTCCCCACTACATCTCCCACAGTGCCCCACTCACTACTCCAGCACTGCGTTCCCGAAAATACTGTGCAGGTTGCACAGAGTGCAGCTCATGTTGAAAGAGAGGAGAGGTGACCAGGTGGCTTGTCTACCACCTGCGTCTCTGTTTTAAACCAGCAGGGTATCCCTGTAAGCTTTCTGCTGAGGGCTTGTGGAGCAGAGGCATGTCTGGATATGACACCAATTGGGCCAGGCACTGAATAGACATGGAGGCCCAGTTGGGGAGACAGCAGTTTTTCAGCAGGGAAAAACCCCCAGACACCCCCCAATGCATCCAAAAAGTGAAGCAAAATCCGGAAGAATTAGACTTGATTGTTTTCATGGTCATGAATTGTTTTACTGCTTTGACATCTGGGTAAAGAGATGAGCTTTGTGTTGTTTTCTTTTAATTAAATGGACAGTTCTGTTTTTTTTTTCTCTTCGTTTGTTACTCGGTCTTCTGTTCCAAAGTGTTCACGAAGGAGCAGGCGTGTCAATAAAGGGCAGGAGTTAAGAGCGACCCAGGTCTCCGTGCCAGCAGTGTCTGTTTCTCTTGGTACGGGTGGGACAGGCTAACGATCTGATCATCCCGGGACTGATGGGGTACACTACTTGTGCATATTTCCAGCAGACCAGATGGGAGCCAGGCCAGTACCTGGAGGGGAGACTCCCGAGAAAGCTCAGGCAGCTGCCCGAAGTGTTAGTGGGGCCAGCAGGGGGCGCTCACCCTGCAGTTTGTGTGGGTCGTAACACCCCAGTATAGTGATGGGGACACTATACTGTAAAAAGGCACCGTCCTTCGGATGAGATGGGAAACGGAGGTCCTGACTCTGGTGTTACCCTAGTGTCCTGGCCAAATTTCCCCCTGGCCTTTACCAGTCATGGCCTCCTAATAATCCCCCTCTCTGAACTGGCTCCATCCCTCTGCTCTCCTCCCCACTGAGAGCTGGTGTGTGTGAGCGGACTGGTGCATCATCCAGGTGGGGCTGCACACTGGTGGTGGTGGAGGGGATCCTCATGACCTGTAAAGTGCTTTGAATGTCCAGAAGAGTGCTATATAAGTGTAAGGAATTATTATTATTATTATTAATGGACCAATGGGGACTGCTGGTTTTGGTTCCAGCCTGGCTGTGAACTGAGCTGCTTGCTGGTCCAGGCTCTGTTTTTTTTTTTCCTTAGACGCTCTCTCCTTGTTTTCAGAAATTCCCTGGAAGTGCGGCATTATTTCCAAAGCCTGTAGAGCTGAAGCCAGCACAAGGACCGCTAATCACCGCCTCAGACGAATAGCCGAAACATTAACACTTTCAGTTCGTCGTACCCACTGGCTTTAGCCCCGTGGTTTCCTGGCAGTTACAGATATTGCATTACCTCCACGTTCCGAACCGACGTCGTGACTGTTGGTGCGCCGATTACTCGGAATAACTCCACACAGACATGTCTGCGGCTTTAGAAAGTGCTGCGTCTTTCTTTGGCTCTCGGTAAAATTAGTGCTGCACTGCACTGAGGAATCGAGCCTGGTGGATTTATTCTGCCGTATGCAGTGGCACAGAGCAGTCTCTTGCTTACTTCTTCATTTCTAGTACCAATTTATAGTGCTGCGCGTGTTTAATTTCATTAAATGTAAAGAATTTTTATTAGTGCTGACGATACAATGTTGTAAAAGGTCAGTCTTTGTCAAAATTGTAGCCCATGAAATAATATGAAGGGCGCAGTTGTCTTTTTTTCTTTACTCTTTTCGCTTGGGGAAAAAAAAACGGTTGTAAACGGAACGTTGTAAAGAGGCCCACTCTATGGCTGACGGGAGGTCTGACGTCACGCTGCGGCGCCGGAAGGGGAAGGGTGAGCGTTGGCGAGAGGGAGAGAGGGGGGCGGAAGTGGAACTGTTTTCGCTTCTGCAGAAACTGAGCAAAATAAAGGAAAATAAAGGAGGAGAGAAGAAATCTTCGCGGAGGAAAGCGGAGGGCGCCGGCGGAGAGACTGGAAGAGAGAGGACGTTGAGGTGAGTTTTGCTGCCTTGGTGCCCGTTTTCACTAGAAAACAGCTGAACCCAGCGCCAAATATTATTATTATTATTATTCTTAATTGGGTAGTAGTAGCAGTGCAAGTAGTAGTAGTTAGTATACTGGCAATTAGTAGCGCTGTACGTTTGGTTTTATGTGTATTACTACTCTGAATTAATCTTGTTAGTTGTATCAGTTGCTGCAGGATTAATTGAACCGTGAATCTCGGCACAGGAGGTAGTTGTGACCGCGGCTGAAGTTAGATTGTTATAGTATTAGCCAACATGACGGCTGGCCTGCATCTTGTGTTTGCAGCTGCAGGGTCTTGGGTATATTTTCCGTTGGTCCAGACCAGCCTCTCGTTTCAGTATTTAATCTGAATCCAGTCCTGGTCCTGGTGGGGTCAGTGTGTGTCTGCAGCAGGGCTGTCCAGTCCTGGACCTGGAGGGGTCAGTGTGTGTCTGCAGCAGGGCTGTCCAGTCCTGGTCCTGGAGGGGTCAGTGTGTGTCTGCAGCAGGGCTGTCCAGTCCTGGTCCTGGAGGGGTCAGTGTGTGTGTCTGCAGCAGGGGTCAGACACACAGGAGCTCCGCTGTGTTCAGAAGTGTTCTGACCGGCTCTCACCCTCTAACACCATCTCCTCCCTGGTTCTGGGTGCTTGAGTGCCCCTCCAGGCCGTGAGCATGCTCTGCATTCACCCCCTTTCTCTCTCTGGCTCTTTCCTTCAGCAGTTTGACTGACAGCCTCACGGCCTTTAACTATGGAGACGGATGGAGACCAGAACTCCGGCTCAACCAATGGGAGTACAGCGTCAGGAGGGAACACCCGTGTTCCACAGATCTCCCAGATGTCTCTGTATGAGAGGCAGGCCGTGCAGGTCTGTGGCTCTTGTCTCTGTTTCACTCTGTACACACCTCTCTGTTTCTGGCTGGCTGTCACGTCAGCTCCATCGGAACAGCTGAACTGCTGTGCATGATGGGAATTGTAGTTTCTCTCTCTCTTTCTCTCTGCAGGCTCTCCAGGCTCTCCAGAGACAGCCCAATGCTGCTCAGTATTTCCAGCAGTTGATGCTCAGCAATGCTCAGCTTCACAACCTGGCTGCGGTTCAGCAGGTACGATAATACGCTGCCAACAGGATATTGACACCACAGTGGCACCCTGCAGCCCTACACCCCAATACCAGCCCAGGGCTGGCACCTCAGAGGCTCATGGGCCAGAGCCGCAGGGCCTCGGAGACACAGGAGCACAGAGGCCAGAGCTGCAGAGTTTAGTGACAGTGCAGTAGTGGGAAGCAATCAGGCTGAGAGGAAGAGCATCATGAGAGGCACACATAGTAATAGGAACGATTAAAGGGTTATTCTGTGCTGAAAAGAAACGCAACATTTCGGCTGTGGATCCTGTTTCAGGTGACCTGAAGAAGGCTCCACAGCCGAAACGTTGTTTCTTGTCTTCTCTTTTCAGCCTGGAATCAACTTGTTCCTTTACAGCCTACGCATGCTGATGCAGCTCCCTACTGGAACTACACGTAGTATTAGATCAAAGCTAAGCCAGTGGTTCTTAACCTGGGGTGCACCCTAAGTCTTACTGCTTCACCAAACCTAGACGTGTTAAGGTCAGCTTAAAACGTTAGTTTTCATGTATTCTTAATTATATCGGGAGGTTATCTACGTCATTCGGTCTCCTCCGTTCTGCAGTTATATCGTAGGTGTAAAGAACTGATCTGCTTCAGCGCTTTGTTGATCAGGGGTATGAGAGGAGATTGTGAGGCAGGAGCGGACAGAAACGGGGGTGTGGAGAGGAGCCAGCCTAAAGGAGCAGGAGGGGGAAGCTGGCGGCCAGCTGGAGAAACACGGCTACCGGCCACAGGGGGGCGATGTAGTGCCACGAGCTCGGGATCCCCTTGTCCGGTAGCGCTCCGTCTCAGTTCCTGGAGGCCCAACAAGTGGACCTTGTCTTGTTCGCACTTGGCTGCCCCTGTGTTTTGGTCCACAAGCCTTCAGCCTGGGGCCTGGGTGTTGCTCCAGCCCTGGACTGAGGCAGGGAGGCAGAATGGACACATGCATGTTCCTGTGTCCGCTTCACACGTGGCCTTTTGGGGAATTGTAGCTGTTTTAAGCTGCCCAGTGAATGAGCGAGCGGTGACCTCTCACGGCTGATGGCCTGGTGTGTGCTCCGCGCAGGCGGCGCGTCGGATTCACATCCAGGAATCCCCTTTCTCCTTCGTTCTCTCCCAGGCCACCCTGGCAGCCAGTCGCCAAGCCAGTTCCCCCAGCACCAGCGGCGCCCAGCCCACCAGTACGGGACACTCCACGGTACGTCCTGCCACCGCTGTGACCTGTTGGAGCGCTCCACAGCAGCGCCGTGTGCGTAGCTGCAGAGTGAATGTCCTCAACGTCATCAGAGTGCTGGCGATAAAGCTACTGGTGCAGCTCAGGGGTGTCCAGTCCTGGTCCTGGAGGGGTCAGAGGGTCTGCAGCAGGGCTGAACACCCCTGATGTACAGTATATTATGTCCTATAACAATTCTGCTGATGGAGAAGCAGGACACTTATAAAGTGAGTTGAACAATTCGGACAACTGCGTACTAAAATCTTTGCAGCGTTTACAAAATGAAATCTGGGCCGATGGTGTCCCCTCAGTGGTGAAATAGCTTTCTTAGAAATTTCGGTTGATTTCAGGTCCCCTCTGTTCAAATTGAGTCAGAGTTCAGGTTCCGAAAACCTGAAATCTCCAGCACCTGATGTTGGGTTCTGTGCAAGAGCCTGCTGCCCTTAAAAAAAAAAACTGGACCGCTGTGCATGTCGGCCCGGAGCTAGGGATTCCTTTACCAGTAGCGAAAATGTAATGGAAATAATCTTGCCGTCTTTGCAATGCCTCTGCTGCAGGTCAACCTGAGCTCGTCATCTGGGGGTGGAGCTATGAACAACCCCCGCCCTCTTGGCCCCACCTCTTCAGCTCAGTCGTCGGCGCTCAGCCAGTCGGTGCTGCTGGGTGGGACTGCGGCAGGACAGGGACAGATGTTGTTCAGGGTGAGCCTGTGCACCTCTCCCTGCAGCGCCGCTGCGGTTTTGTGTCTGCTGTTGTGTAATCTGCATTCATCCTGTCCCCTTCGTGTTTGTCTCATCTCAGGTGAATCGCTCGCTCAGGGCTCCTCTGTCCTCTCAGCTCATCTTCATGCCCGGTGCAACCACTGCTGCTGCTGTAGCAACTGTTGCCCAGCAACCGCAGCAGCAACAACCGCAGCAGCAGCCACAACAGGAGGTTGCCCCTCCCTCCTCCTCAGCTAACCAATCAGAGACTGACCAGGTTTGTGTGTTGCCTATTTCACTCGGGCATCAGGGGTAATCGTAGGTCTTTGGTGTGTTGTCAATAATTTTAGCTCTAAGATCTTGGTTTTGGGTTCCCTTGCATCTTTTAGTGATTGGTTAACTTTTCCATCCCTAGGGTCTGCATGAGGGTTTTTGTTCAGTGTGATCCGTTAAGTGTGTCTCTAGGGTCTATATTAGGGTCTGTATTAATCTCTGTGTGTGAGGAGT